AAACAGTTAAAGACGGAAAACTTGCAAAACCTCAGTGCATTTTTTATCCCATTTTCAGGCAGCATTAGATCAACAACAGAAATAATTGCTGTCAGTTTGCACTTTTTGACCAATAATTCTCTGTATTTTCTGTAAGGAACTTGAGTGATGCAAATGACCTTATTTTTACAGCATGCTTTTATTAAATAGTTTATTATTTTGGCAGACTAATAAAGATTTTGGTATTTGCTTTTATTTGCAATAATATTACCACAACATAAAAAAGGATTTTATGTTCTTTTTGAGGAACAAGGAGGATAAAAGTGTTGATGGATAGTGCAACTAAGGCATCAGCAATGAGCTGGAAATGAGACACATAAATATGAAAGCAGAGCTAAGAAAATAGAACTGCACCCTTGGCCTTTCTTAAAAGAATACGCACATGCTATGGTTCATTCATACAGTTAGGGAAACTCCTTTTGTTTTCAGTAAGTCAGTGAAAATATGCAAAGACTAAAATATTACTAAGATTCTCAGCTGTTTGTCATATTTCAGTAGTTAATATAGTTGGGAAATGTTTCTAAACATTTAGAGAAATAACTCTTGATAGTGATGCTAACTTTTTAGAAGATGTGTGTTTTCTTTGATGTATAAATTCGTCCTTCTTTCTAGCTATGTCTTAGACAAAGGTGGTGAAACAATATCAGTTTTCAGTTTTCCCTTTTTTGCCTCTCAAACAGACCTAAGTGTTCAAAGATCAAAGAGTTGAGACCTCGTAGCCAGATTAGGCAATCACACACAGATTTTAAAACCAAAATTATCAGTTCTCTAATAAAAAAAAAAAAAACAAACCAAAGCTTAGGTAGCACATAATAGCATTCATCTTATTTTGAATTGGATGGGGAGTTTCATTTCAGATTGAAAAAAATTGTGTATTCTTTCTGCAATAATCTGAGCTCCTCGACAATGGGTGGTGTTAGATGTAAGGGGCAGTATGTAAGAGTTGCGCAACGTATTTTATAATCTGAACCTCAATTTCTTGTGTAAGGAACATATTGATTCAAGCAAATAATTGGGTATGCCTTAGAAATATTGATATTTGCTTCATTGAGGATACTTAAAATCTGAATTTTACTTATAGACACCCCTCAAAAAGACAGTCAAAGCAGAAAAATACAAACAGAACAAATACTAAATGACAAAAAAGGTGAGCAGGCAAGTAAAAGTTCCCCTCACTGGAAATTTGTTTGTTCCATTTGCCTTTTCTAAAAGGCAGCCAGTAAACAGGAATCATGAAGTATGTTTCATAGAAGAATAAATCTAACAATTAATTATATGTCAAGGCTTAAGAATCAAAAAACTGCTTATGCCCATTGCCAGTCATTCACTCCCTGTCAGTAGTAGTTCACATCTTTCCTGGGATGGCATCCAACCACAGTGGCATCTAAAATATAGCAGGCTATATTGTTACAGTTGGAGGTGAAATCGAAAGTTGCACCAAACAGAAGTGACAAATTCACATTGCTCAGTGTTGCCTAGCAATAAGAGATGAGTTTATTATGAACACTTGACTCTATATCCATCGCAAAGAGGCTTTGTATTCACACCAAAATGCCACTAATCTTACAGGCAAAAGGGGCAAAAATAGGGTAGGCAGAAGGAGGGAACAGTCATAGTAGTTCTAAGTATGTTCGGTGTTTCAAGATTTCTCTCTGTCTCATGGGAACTTGCTCAGGAGGGAAAGGCAGAGCCTGCCTCTAGCTGAACTGTTGAGATTGGCCAGGTAGCTAGTTACCAGCCTTAATCATCCTTTTGAATGCCCCCAGTAGTGCTGTTTCATTAGTAGTATGATAGTAGTTCAGACACTTCAAATACATGAAGTCTTTACTGAATATTCTCGAGAACTGCACAGTAGTTGTTTTCATTGTGCAGAGTTTTCCATTTGCTGCAGCTTTGTTTTCTTTTTTTTCTCTTTTGTTTTTTAAATGGAAAAGGACAAGTCATCAGGTAGCTTTTCATTTATATGGAAGAACATTTACTTCTATCTTGGACATTAGACCATATCTCTCAAAGTATTAATTGCCTAACTGTTCAGATAAATGGGTTTTTCAAGAAACATTTAGGTATCCTTGAAAACTATAGTGGCTAGCCACCCACATATTTAGGCACATAATCCATTTTAAAAATCCATGCAATAGCTCTTATTAAAAAAAATTATTCCAATAACTTATCTGTTTCTGTGTTTTTATGCCATCTGCATTTTTGACAACTGATTTTTTTTGACAGCATGGTCCATTGTGCCCAAGTTCACATCAGTTTTTTTTCTCTCTTTTTTTTAACATCATGTGACTGCATATATAGTAAGAAAATGGGTTATATCATGCATTTTATTTTACTGGTTTTTAACTGAAAAAAATGTATAAAATAAGTATTTCTATTGCAAGGCTGCATTTATACTATAAAAAGAATAAATTCATGAAATGCTATGTAAGTATATTGAGGTTACAAAACAGTTGTGATTTTAAGAAGCTTTAGAAACAAATACAAAAACTAAGGGTGACATTTAGAAATTATGTGATTTAGGTATAATAGTGTGAAGTATAGATAAAAATTGCTCTGTTTTATGAAATGTTTAATTAAAAAGGCTAATGCAGAATTATCTCCTTAGCTTACATGTTCACCTAGACAAATTAACTGAACCTGTGAAAATTTGACAGTATAATTTTTTTATTTTTTGTGCAAAATGCAGCTATTGTCTCTAATTGTCACTTACGCAGTAAGCTTTGCAGGTACAAAACCAAGCTACATACATTTTACAAATGTTTTTGTAAAACCTTTAGTAACTTTGGTCCTTTCTTTATTTCAGATTCAACGTGTTACAAACAAACATATTCCACCTGTTACAGCAATCTGGCATATTACTTTCTTGATACGTGATGATACAATACCTCTCAGGTTTGCTGAGTAGCAAAGAGAAATGTAAGCAAATGAAAAGGTTTTCCACTTTCACAGTTTTTTTCTGCTTGGGGTTCTGTTTGTCTGAGAACTGTATGAATAGAAGCCATATTTTATAGTATTTCTTTAACCTCTGCCATCTGGTGTAGGTTAGTTTTTCCACTGCCAACATATCCTAGAGGCCCCAGTACCAAAATGTTTAGTTTCTAAGTAAACATTTGGACTTTATAAATCCAGTTAAAAGAAATAGAGCATTATTTTTTTAAACTGTATGTTACATTTGCCACTAGTGATGACATTAATAAACACAGAGACAGGTATGTGGGTTTCAAGGCTTCTGGCCATGACTTTTTCCATAGCAGACCTACAGAGATGTCAGGTCACCTGACAGCTTTAATCACTGAGTCATGCTCAGTTATCAGGAAGGAACTTGAATATTACTTACTGACCTAAAGTCTGAAGTTGTGTCGAGGGATTTGCATCACCATAGCCAAAACCTTCCAAATCAACCGTGGCTTCAGGCAAATAATACTCCCCTATGCCAAAGCCAGAGCTCTAACTTCTCTATTTTTTTTTAATATCAACCCAAGTTATTTCACTGCAACAAGAGAGGATTGTTGCTACAAAAGAACTTGGGCAAGTCACTAACCACTTAGAAAACCCAAGCTACTTCTCTAGCAACTTCCTTATGTCTGAGGAAGAAAAAAGCCACAAAAATTGTGTGTCAGAATTCTACTACCAACAGGAGAAAGTTCTTTCTAAGCTTACAAAAGTATACTGTTTCGTTTTGTACTAGCCAGCAAATTATCAAATTTCAATTTGAAAAAAATGAAGGAGTGTTGATTGTCCTAAGTTGATCTTTAGTCAGAATGAAAAACTGAAAAAAACTTGCTTCTGCTGAGCATGAAAAGGCAGACAGGGTTCACCTTAATCAGTATTTTTCAGAGGCAGACAGTCATCAGGGAAAAGACACATAGATAATAAGGGTGCACAGATTATAAAGGAAAACATTAAAGCTGTGTATAAGCAAGATCTGAAAGGTAAATAAAATGAAAACAACTACTATCTTGTCACTTAATTCAGATTTAGGAAAAGTTCTGAAAAAAAATGTAGGAACTTTCACTTATTTACATGTCCACATGGTTAAATTTTTGTGTGTTTGTGTTTTTCCCTAAATTATAAAATATCAAGGGTAGCTTGGTTTGCCACCTTCTCCTGAAGCATTTCCTATTCCTGAGGAGTATTCAGAAACATGTTTTTGGCATTAAATGAAATTCTAGTGAAAATTCAGAAAAGGTCTTTACTTCTTACTGTTTGTTCAGTTTCAAATTAAACATGTCTTAAAAGCAAAGAACAGTAAATAATCTAATTAATACATGACTCTTTTCTGAGCACTGAGATGCAGTGCAAAAGTTATGCCCATTTAATTGAATTCATTTAGAATTTTACTAGTTTAATCAGTGCAATCTGGTAATGAAGATTCATTAGTATCTTAGAAGTATTTGTTGAATTTAAATGATAACTCTCTTGGGGATAATTCTTCTTGCTGAACAGCATGAATGAAGAGATGACGTATCACCTTTCAGCCAATCTGGAATGTGAAATTCTGTGTTACTTTGCAAGACCACTAATTGCATTTGTTCTATTATGCTTAGTTATAAACAGCAGCATCTGGGGATTGAACATTCTCTCTGCCACAGGGATAGTGGCTTCTGCCTAGATGGACAACTGGTTAAATTGCCTCAATATGAGTCATCAGAACAGATAAATCAGTGCCCACGCTGTGGTCTGTTTAGTCGTCAGTGAAACTTATTTGATTTAATTTAGTAATTTTCTAATTCTAGCTTACTTTGAGACCATTCACAGTTTTTCACTCTGCTTCTTAAATCTTCTTGCATTGGAGTGACAGTTTAGACATGCCCTGAAAGATTTACCTCAGTATTTCTTTGTAGCCATTGATTAGCCCCATGAACCTATGCTTGGATTGGTGTTGTGCCTGAGCTTACCCTGTCCTGTCAGCACCTCTTACCAGTCAGCTCACTCTCTGATTCACTTCTGATTTTCAGTGAACTCCAGTCTCTATGTTCTGTGTCTGGCTAGGCATTTTAAGACTGGATTTAACCTTAAGAACCCAGACACATGCTACCAGTCCATCTTTTTATCTACCCTCTTCTGTCACAGCCTTTCCTGTAAACATTTTGTCAATGTAAGTGAATTTTTCAAAGGACTCATGATCACAAGATTCCTGCAGATTTTGTGAATCTGAACACCTATATGAGAAGATAAAAAATCAAAGTCAGAGCTCCAGGAAGGAAAAGACTAGATTTGGTAGTTATATATTTGGCTATCCACTAAGTATGCAGCTCAGAGCCTGCCACAACACTGTATTGCTGTTTTCCACATCAGTAGTAAAAGTATATAGGAAGAATCTGGAAGTAATTTTCATGAAATTTTATCTTTTGTCATTTCTGTCTTAAAGCTGGACACTAAATTGGTCCTAACTCACAATCTTCCCCAGAAGAGATGGGAAGGGAAGAATCTCAGGCTAAATTCCAGCACATAGACTGGACTCATAGACCCAACTCCTTCTGAGGGACAGATTCTAGGCTCTGACTTTCTTCTGTGTATTTCCTACTCAACAGCAGCCTTCTCTGTTTTTCACTAACATAAATCCTATTCAGATTTGTCTCCAGCCAGTCTGCTTGCCAAGCGTGGGCTAAGGGTTTCACTTGTCAGCCCCTTGGCACATTAGGTACTTTGTGATGCTGTTGTGAGGCCTTGGGTGGTTTTGATATGATTGTACTGTAATCAGTCCAATAAGAATGAAACTCTTATATTTAGACTCTCTATAGAAGTAAATGTACCTACAGATGCAAAGTGGTATTGAAGGCTGTGGATTTTTATCAGGAGTAAATTGGTTGCATGATTTAGATTTTTATGTTTGCTGAGTACCTAAATTCTCACCCAATAATTACTGGCTGTTTATAAATGTGATATGCACGTAGGGGACATATGATCACAGCACGTATACGTTGCCATTTGTATTAGGTGACATACGTGAAGAAAAAGAAGATCTACCATAAATATCGTACATAACACGTATCTATCTAGTAACAATGAATAATAAACAGTCTCTGGAACTTGGTAGAAGTTTAATTCAAAACCCATCACAGACTTTACATGGTTTGGTTAATTGTGTAATAAGTAGTCAAATAAATGTTCAGAAATTGAAAATGCATTCTTCTATAATACACATTTTTAAACAGGTTTCTTGGCATGCATTTTGTTTGTACTGTGCTTGAAGTTGTTTATGGCATTAGTGGTTTGTGTGTTTGTGCATGTTTGCATTCTGTCTGTTTATGAAGTATTTCACTGGTACCCTTACACAGCATGTGGTCGGTTGAAGATTATTTTTGATAGCATGTGTATTCATGCATTTTCGTGAAAGGCTTTAAAGTAAGGTGGGCTAAACACTGCTTATCTGAAATTATGTAAAGCCACACGTGCAGGTTGTACATGTCTTCACAGAACTTAGATACAAAAAGTACCTGCGCCATTTTAAAGATGAAACTGTGAGTTGGTGACAGTTTGTCAAACAATCATGGCAATTTGGTATATTTGAGTTTCATATACATAGGCTAATTCTATTAATAACTGGAACATTAGTGTATTTTCTTATCATAGATGTCCAAAATAATTAACAGATGACTCATTATATTATAATAATACCATGTGTGTAACTAATTTTTGAAATGAACTATGGAAGCAAAAACAAACCTCTAACAAGGATAATTTAAATCACTTTAGTCCCTAATTGACAGCTAAGTATAGGCAATACTTTCAGGACCCCCAGACAGGGCTGTGAAATTAATCTGTGAATTACTCTGGGCTTAGAGTGTTAGTTGATACTATTCATGGTGTTTTGAAAGTATGGGTTGTTCAGCATGTGTCTAATGACATTACAGGAATATTATTTGCAGAAAATGTAGATGCTGAGCAGCTCTAGACACTTACAGGCTTTGGTTCAGTAAGGATTTTGTGAACATTACAGAATAGAATATTGTTGCTTTATTTAAATGCCTAACTGTGATTTTAAGAGCATAATTCTTCCCATGAATCTTGTCCTACACTTCAGGAAACCCTTCTTCTGCAGAAATTATTGCGAACGGGCATGAAACTGAAAAGAAACAAAGCTGACCAATAATAAATTCTTATGAAAATTCCACTTGTAAGTACTATTTCATTACTATTTTTACTAAAGATCTTCACAGATAGGAAACTCTATGTATCGGCTCTGATTTTCTTGAGAATATTTTCATACAAGTATACCTCTTTTCTTCCTACCAGCATAATATCAGACAATTTTCTAACACTTCTTTTACATCGCTCAAGTGCACACTTATGAGAGCTTAAAAAGCATTTCATTAAGTTTATCTGTCTTTGAATGTGAGAATAAATTTAATGAATATCATTGAATAGAATTTATGTTGTGCACATTTTTTTTATCTAGTTTCTGAATATAAAATGTTGTACAGCTGTATCATTTATAACACCATGCTGTGCTGCACAACACTAGTTGCTATTTATATAGTGCTGTAACATACAGTGAAACCTCTGCTTAAGAATAATTATTTAAGGGACTTTAAGTGACTTAGAAAGAAGATAACTAAAGGTGGAATCCAGACCCTCTAGCTACTCTTCCTCCTTGTAACATTCCATACCTATGTTATTCTTGAGAAGTTTAAGTTCAATCCACAGAAAATTACATTTCTATTCCTCAAGACATAGGAACCATTCATACAGAAATGAGAAACAAAATGTGTACAGAAATAAACTTTACATCTTGTGACAGTAGCAGGAGGTTCATAGTGTCAGGAAGAAAAAAAAATGATGAAAGGAAGCCAAACCTGACAAACTGAATCGTGGCTCATTTTAGTGTTGTTGAACTTCATTTCACTAACAAAGCAGTGAGTTAAAAAAAGGAAAAACTATGAAAAATACTTTTTATCACCATAATATACTAGTTTTAAAATAAATGTGTATGTACTATATAAATTCATAGATCTCGGCAACTATATAGGTATTCTTAATTATTTTGAGACCAGAGAAGAGGATTTTAGTAAAAGCTATATGATCATACAAAGGACTAGATTTGCTAAGAATTTGTATGGTAGTGTGTTTCCATACAAAATCAGTGTAAAAATCCAAATAACTGCCATAGAAGGAGTAGTAAATTTCTACAAATTGATTTATAATATTTTATGAAATGTAGACTATGTATTTGATGTTACAGAGAGATTATACATAGCATATGGAAGATGCACACATTTATATATATACATATACATATGTGTGTGCGCATGTGTGTGTCTTTTTCCATATCCTATCTATGCATAGATTCCATCTTCCAGTTCTTGTTTTTGTGTAAATCAGGAGTGATTTTGATAAAGTCAATGTTTAAAATGTTGTAAGAGGTTATCGTCAAGTCCTTTATATATAGTAAACACATATTAACATTTAAGAGATGAGCCAAGACAATACTTAACTACTCATTTTGGGCTGTGTCCAAATACTGGCTCACATGCCAGCTATTCACCAGTATAGTATTTAGATAATATTCTTTAGCTGACATGGGTTTATGTTGTAAAGAAAAACCTATATAATTTGAGTGTTCTTGAAAATAGAACTTAACTTTTATGTTATTTAAGTGTTTTAAGCATTTTAGCCTTGATATCTTCCAATTTATGCATTCAATGCAGTGAGAGTACTACTGGAACAAGCGATTCAACTTCCAGGAAAATTTAGCAGAACTTTTGGGACTTAGAGCATGTAAGAAGTCAGGCACTGTTCAAGTGAGCATGATATTCACAACCTCCTAGAAAGCATTTTTAAACCCTGAGAAAGTATTTTTGATTTTGCAAACAGTATTACAATTATTGTCTAAAATTTTGTTTTTAATATATGTAAACATCCTAAGGGATTGAAAATATGTTACTCTTCATTATACGTATTGGCTTCAGACATCATTATCCACTAAAAGTCACTTCAGTTCCAGGTGTGACTATTTGCTATGTAAGAAGTCAAACAGCTAGTTAATTACACACTTAAAAAATAAAATTCTGTCCTTAAGACAAAAGAAGGACACTTTTCGTTACATTTCCAATGAACTGGAACTTTTACTTCAAATGATATTCCAAAAACTTGCTTTTTGTCTTGGAACTGGGTCAGAGTTTTCCTAGCCTTGATACAATTGGCATCCTTTCTCCAAATCAAAATATGCCAGCCATAGTACTTTTCCAGTAATACAGTTATCATGCAGAAAATCTTTGATAAGGCTACATTATGCAACATTTGTGCTATAGAGATCCATGAACCTGCAAGGTTATGTGACTGCGAGTAACCCCTTCTGCCATTTGATGTTACAAAGACTTCAAAAACTTGACTGTGAGATAGACTTCTTTTCCCCCAAAGGCTCAACATTCTTTTTGTGCTACATTTTTCAGAAGAACTCTTTGTTTGAGGAAGCTGGGCAGGGTAAAGCTGGCAGACTGGAACACTGCCCTGATGTGTTGTGACAGACATGTAATCTGCCATTTGACCACTGGTTCACACATCAGTGTTATTGTGAATGTGACACCTCTCACCATACTGTTAATCATGTATTACTCTTCTGTCTAAAATGTGGAGATGTGGGGTAGACTTTTATTCTTTTCAGAAGACTGTGCAAAAAATCTAGTGAAATGAAAATTTACAGCCATAAAGACAAACTGATTGACAGCTGCAAATCATAGTCACAGCAACATTGATATATACATATTTATAGATCCCTAGATTTCAAAACTAAAAAAGATCATTAGAACAGTCTGCTTAATCTAACGCATTCCCACTCCAACGTGCAAGGAGTCAAACATGTAGTCCCATATCAAGTGTGAGGAAACCTAGAAGATGGCCTTCTGTAGTCCAGAAATGAGATCAATTCAGCTTCTTTTCCTCACTAACACTTTTTCGTCTCTTGGGTTTTGTTTCTTTTTCTCCTGGTGTTTCATCACCAAAGTGCCCAGGAGTTCATCTGCTTTC